TTATTATTACAAAAATCGTTTTAACATAAAAATGTAGCTCAAACAAGGAATTAATACTCTTAAGAACCCAGCGCAATCCACATTCTTATAAAAATTCGTTTTTTCAAAATTCATTTTCAACCACATATTCTTTAATAAAATAATATTACATGCAAATTTAAAATTTTTCTTTATTTTTTAAACACATATTTTTTATCGCATCACATCATAAAATACATTTTTTCTCCATAATATGCATCAAACACTCCCTTAATGAATATTTTAAAATGAACGTTGACATTGATAAAATAAAAGGCGTGTTGGAAAGAGTGAAAGAAATGAATGAAATAGTTGTTATAATTATGGGAATTTGATGGGCAGTGTGTTGGAATAATGCAATTCTTCATTCTTCATTGGTCTTTAGGTACAATTCTTTATTCAGTTATCATTATTTGATTTCTAGAATCGAGGCCTTGACTTTATTGAGCATTTTAGTCCTCGTTTTCTAGAATAATTTTGTAAAAGGTAATTTTTGAAGAATATATCCTTAAAAGTAGGGGAAAAATTGAGTTATATACACGGTTTCTATTTACATCATTCCTATTCTTTGAATTGAAACAAATTAGAATTCTTAGTTTTCTACGACGCCTAAATGAGAGAATATTTTCAGAACGAGTTGCCTAGTGGCCTCAAGAGTTGGGCTGGCTCGGCTTATGAAGGAAAATGGGAGTTCGACTCAATCTAGACTCGTCTAAAAATGAACTCGAGCTATCCAAGGATCGACCTAGAAAACTCGGCCTGTTTGACACCGCTACTATTGGTGGTAGTTTGGGTAGAGTTAGGGTGGATTGGGTTGGAGAGTGAGGTCGTTGAAGAAGAAGATTTATTTCTTCATTTTGCAAGGATAGAGAGCAATTTTTCATTTTTTACATTTATTTAAAGATGGGAAAAATTCATAAATTTTACATGGATTTTAACTGTCAAAATGAACGGAAGGACGTAATTTGTAATTAAGAAAATTGTTGAAAATATCTTATGCTAAAAAAATTTATTAATTAGTAACATATGGCAAATATTTGGGACAAAAAGTGCCAATTTTCCTTTTCATTTTTATTCCCTATCCATCAAACATATAGAAATCATTTATTTTTTTAGCAATTAAACCTATAAATTTAATTATTTCATTTTTTTCAACAAAACTTAAAATTAGAACGTGGGACTTAAACAACCATTACCGGATGATTATTCTCATCAATTTCTCATAGAAACCAAATTATTTTAATTGACGTATAATAACAAACTTTTCAGCACCTAATACACGTCAAGACATGTTTCCGTTTGATGACCATTATTTTTAAAATAGATAATTCTATATAGTAATTTTTTAAAAAATATATAATTAAAAAGTATGTGAAATTTTTGGATTTACGTGTAAAATATTTTATTATATAAATATATGAGTGAAAATAAATAATTTTATGTTAAGATGGGACAAACAGGACTAAGAACCTATCTGGGCGCCATTTTTGAAGGAAAGAGAGCAATTTTTCGCCCGTTACAACCCACCATTTTTTACCAACTCTTTCACGAGTGGGACCCACTGACCAACAGCAATGGAAATATTTTTGAGTTTAATTCAAAAAGAAGCTGCAACAGACAGGTTCTGAGTATAATTCCTAAATTACCCCCAGTATTTTCATGTGAGCAAATTTATCTACGCCTAGAACTAGAAGAGTGGAGACTTCTCGGCGGAGTAAGAATTTAAAATGGAAGAAAACGACAAACAAATGATCTTCACACGATTTTTAGTTTTCCATTTCTTTTTTTAAGATACAATAACTTATAAATATTTTTATTTATTTATTTATATAGTAGTCACTTGTTTTCTTGTACTTGGTTGTTCACCAAAGACAACTCAATTGTATTTTGTATAAATACGTTAACATTTTGAATCATTATTAATATCAAAATCTACATAGTTTCTACTCGTGATCGATGATACTATCTGTTATCCTACAATGTAACTTCACACAAACTTTAACCTCCATTAATGTCGCCACTCAAACCATCATTTCTAAGTATAAATAATGGAAAATTCAAATTCATTCGCATTTGATATTTTATTCGATCCCTATATATATTTAGCTATTCTTTACAAGTTAAATAGGTTGTTTAACCTCAATACAAGTTAGACAAATTTTTTAACACGAAATCATTATATTATTTCTTCATATTTTAGTGAAATCTCATTTCATCTGCCAATTATCTTGTTCTTGTCGTTCTTGATCAATTATTTTATATCGTGTCATACTTTTTTCGCGTCTATTGTTATAACAAATTGGTATTAGAGTGATCTGGTATAGGGGTGGGCGCGGGTCGGTTCGGTTCGATTCGGTTCGGTTTTTTTCGGTTCCAGAAATTTTCGGGTATTTAGTAAATGGAACCGTCGGTTCCAAATATAATTTTGGAACCGTTCGGTTTCGGTTCGGTTCGGTTCGGTTCCGTTCGGTTCCGTACTATTAAGAAAAAACTTTAAAAAACAAAAATAACAAATATAATTAAACTATAAATTGTTCAACTAATAAGATTTAATAATAAAAAAATTATTAGTTTATTTAGAAAAAATAAAAGAAATTGATTTATCCAATATAAAAAAAAAATTTCGGTTCTGGGTCTAGAACCGAGAACCGGACCAAACCATTCGGTTCTCGATTCGGATACCCGTTCGGGTATTTCATTTTAAAAAACCCGCTCGATTCGGTTCGGTTCGGACATTTTGCCCAGCCCTAATCTGGTATCCGTTTTATTCCTTGCTTAAGTTCTGCTGTGCACATTATTACAATCAAAAGACAAAACCTCATCAGCATTTATTATTCACTCGTGCACTTGCTCTCTGTACAAATTGACGATTGAATTTGAAAAAGTACATTTCTTCTCGTGTTCAGTTCTTGAGGGACCAACTTTAATTCAAAAATATACTTCAGTATAAAAATGGACAATTGTTATATTGCGCAAGTACTAATGTTTGATAAAATCTTTCTGATATGATTGGGGTGTTCGGTAAAACTACTGGTAATTTTTTTTTTTTTTTTGAATAATATGTGATTAATAAATGATTACGAGATGTAATTGAATTAATATTTGATTTTGATTTAATAAAAAGTGCTGAATTGATAAAATTGAACTTCTTTTGTTGATATAGGAACCCGCAACTGCTATTCGTCAGCGGAGCTTCGACCACTGTGAGTGTGCACTAGGTAAACTCCGATTCATGTGCAACAGTCTGCAAACCACACAGGAGAGGTAAACCGTATGAGGCAAGCCTGGTGCGACGAGCTTGACTGAGGACATGGCATGAAATTTGAACTCGTGACCTTTGATTTCCGCGTTCACCTACTTCACCAACTCAACCACCTCCAGAGGGGTTAAATTGAACTTTTTTATTCATTGCATCGGAAATGGCGGGTCCAGGGTCCTCTACCCAATGCACCACTTGATGTGTTTATGAAATATGTGGCCCGTAAAGGTCAAAACCACGGCTGAACATTTTAACATTTTCATTAGTTTAGTTTTGAGTCTTCAATTTTCAATGTGATGGTATGTGGACCCTCATAATATTTTAAATATTCGAATCTCAACGAAACCATCAATGTAATATTTAAAATTGCTCATGTTCATGTTTCGACTTGCTTCTTTATTTAATGTTTTATTCAATTCACATAATCAATAAAACTAGTTGTACAAAACCATGTGTTGTCAAAATTCGGACCAATAATATAAAAAATATTTTTTAAAATGGATGGATGAGATGGTTTTAAGTATATAGTTGTCAACCAATATTATTAACAAATGTTGTACATATAACATGATTGTTACATAATTAGTTACAGACCTGTGTTAGGTGTACATCACGACTGACACCGCTCTCGGCCCCGTTTAAGGATCTAGCATCACAATTTGCCTACTAAGGACTCAAATAATTAGCACACTATTTGGACCAATCAGAAATTTGTTTTGTGGTAGTTTAGGTAGATTCCAAGTACACTCCTCTCTCCCTATGGAAGAGTATCCAATGCTGCCTTTTTTAATTTATTTTTCTCCTTGTGATTAGGTAATTTCCTCCTCGCCATGGAAGAGGATCCAATGCTGCATTTCCCATGGTATGCAATAGAAATGTGAATAACATTTGAACTAATTATCCTCTTAAAGAATCATTAAACATACACAATAGGTTCGATGGTACATATGATTTGGACATTGGACATGATTACTACTAATTTTACATAGATATCTTCCCTATGTTTGTATCTGATTTTGTTCAATTCAACATACGAAATCATATTGTTGGTGCGAGTTGGGGGGAAAAGATCGAATCTAGATATACAAGATCGCTAATTAAATTATTCTCAAGAAGAGGCCATTGTCGGGCTAGCAATTTATAAATTAGAACGTTAATCTTGCCAAGTAAAAGGTAACCATGCCGACCATAGTTAAAATAAATAATTTTTGTTTTCTAGTTATTTAAGAATCAATTCACGTGGTCTCACTTTAAAGAATAATACTATTCATAACGAATTTAAAACAACAAACTTCTTTTATTTCTTGGATCTCTACTTGAAAGGCTGAGAAGGGAATTCGTGTTGATGTACAGTCCGTGAAAGAATGGAGTTTACTGGGGTTGAAAGAGTCAGCAAGGACTATTATAGAAAGGTAATTGGATCCGTTTACAGTGAAATGTTGTCTCATATTGGAGCGGTTGAAAAGCACACTGAGGAATCCTCGTTCTTTAATCATTTATTGGGCTCTGCAAAATGTCAACCTCGGTGTACAAATAGAAAAATCCTCATTTATTTACTTGTTCTGTTTGTGTTCATGGAAGCCATTGCAGAATGTTCAGATCACAAGTTCATCAATAAGAACTTTTTTAAGCTTAGCCAAACGTGGTAATAAGATGGGTTAACAAATCGTGTTAATTTTTGGTTTTGTTATATGTACATCAGAATTTACACCCCGGTGCATATAATGCCCAAGTGTCATTTGATCGTCGGCTGGTGGACAAAAACCAAGTGCTTAAACATATATACAGAACGCGACGTTTAAACTATCATAAGTAGTACCAAATATTACAAGAAAGAACAGAACAAAAAAAAATGGTCGTGCGATGGATTCTATTAGGCTAAACTTTAGTTTCACTCTACGTTTAACTTCTTCATGGTTCCACCCAACCTAGTCAATGGCTATGTGGCTTAAACAAAAACAATATTTTCAACGAATTCTTCTGGTCTAGTGGGAAAAAACATGAAGAGCAACCATTTCTTCTTGCCTAAAAATGTTTTGATAAGAAAATTAAACCAGTTATGTTCGGCACATAACCAAGATGAGAAATTTAACTGGAAATTTTTTATAGAAACAAGTTTGAGGAAGAATGTTGAACCACCTCGTCTAAGAGCTTAAGCTCGGATATTGTGTGGTTTAACATGACATTAGAACAGACAATTGGATCATACGACAGTTCTGTCCTAATACCCCATGTTAAAACATCTCATCGAAAAGTTTACGTCCTAAGAACTGGGGAATGCATTAACCGGAAATGATTTTAACGGGTCATGATCTGAAATTGATGGTTAAACAAACAGTACCACAAATTGATATTGTGCTTCCAAGTTAAACAATACCACCATTATATCTGGAAATTAAAAGCCATTCTTCCTTGAACATAATACAGCATAAAGGGAAAAATAAATATAAGAAGAGAAGAATTGGAAGTTAGGACCAGTTTATGTAGTTACAAGACCTATATTACCAGGGTAAATTGCGCTTTAGGAAATGTTACATAAACAGCTATTTGAACAAATAAGAAAACTATTGAATACAATTCCAAACCTTAAAACACCCACGTTAATATAAATAGAACGTTATGTCATGCCACACAAACCTTATTAATTAGTTGTCAACATTATGCTAGGTGTACAGTTTCTAAGTTCTTGCTCAGCTCCTCCAACTTCTGCATCCTCAATCCCTCGCTTTCATTAACAAGCTGCAAATTACAGCCAAATTCAAATTAAAAATTGCCGTAATAACTATTTCAGCATCAGTAATTGGATTGCAGCTCAGTAGCTCAAATAATAAGACTTAAAAGGGCTGTCTTCCCCATAACCCCTTTGGGGGGAAAACGGACTATATAGTCAAGGTACACCTCTTACTCTATTTCCTTAGTCGAAGAGCAACTCCGACTCCAACTTAACTCTACTTCTAGCTCCAATACTACTACAACTAAACTTTGGCTTAGGAGATTGGGACACCTCTCCATAGAGAGAATGAAAAGGTTAGTAAATGATGGAGTCTTAGAAAGCCCTCCGGAAAGAGAATTCACTTCATCGTATAGTGATAGTTGAGAAACCTATGTTAGTACAAGTAGGAGAACTCGTACCTCAAAACAAAGGATAGAGATTCTCACGTTTCTGAGAAAGGGTTGCCTATTCAAGCTATAAGCAGTTTCACTCAAAACAGTTCAATGAAAAGCACGTTTGTACTTACCTCCATTAATCTTGCAATCAGCTCTGCTTTTTCCTTTTTCTTTTCATTGAAAGCCTCAACAGCTTCTTTATACTCTCTCTCCTGTTATAACACATTGAATTTTCATCATTGAAAGCCTCAAGAGCTTCTTTATACTCTCTCTCCTGTTATAACACATTGAATTTTCAAAATTTGAGCGGTTCATATCAAATGTATTCGAGCAAAAAGCTGAAGTGCTCCAACTGAATTCTTCAACAGAAAATCAATAATTAGTCTCGAATTCAAGAAAGTCAGTCGACATATTTCACCTTCTTCTGGCAGGTCTGTCCAAGGGTTTTTAAATCCTTGTTGACTGCATCAATCTTCTTTTGAACAAGTGTAACTTCCTTCTTCCTTGGATCAGCTAGAGCCTCTAGTTCCTGATAATTGTAATTTACAGTTGGTTCGAGGAAGTACCAGCGACAAATTGAGAAGTCGTTAGCTTTAGATACAGAAATTTCTCATCCATTTATTTTTTATGTTATGCATATCAATCTGATAATCAAGCTATAGCTCTTAAAAGGAATATTCATAAAGCAGGGAATGTTTCTTCTCGTGTGTGAAATATCCAGATACACACCCTATTAGAAGACATGAAACACATAACTGAAATGGCTAATTATAAGGCTAAAATAAATCCATATTTTATCCCTTCAGACCATAGATAAATATTTGAGAGTGATGCTACAAGTACATAATGTTCTACATAATTGCAAGTGGCATTGATCAACACATTTAATTCAAATCTGACAGTTTCACATCAACGAGGTTGCCACGTCACATTATGTCATCCATTGTTGTGTACATTTATTATGTACCCTCGGCATTTTCCAATATTTGATAATCTCATTTAATAGGAGTCTGGATTCGGCAAGAGGCGCAGTTATTAACTGATCCTCTTATCTTTGAATGACGGTGAGTGAAGAACGATCAATTGAAGTTGCAGAAAGTCAACTGTCATCTAAATTATGCTTCAAAAGAAACTAATAACACAATTAAAGTACTATTATGTAATTTATCTCACAAAATGGGAAAATTATGACAGAGATCTTTGTACATCTTTAACATAAACCATGGAAAATTGAACATTTCGGTATAATTCATGAAAACCCCATAAAAACTTCATTTTTTTCTTATAAATAAATTTCAGTCTTGAAATCCCTCTTCCTAATTAAGTACAGATCCATAAAAAAAATCCATTAAAAATGTAAAAAATAACCCAAGAAAATACCTCACGGATAGTGGCCAAACGCCTATTTTCTTGTTCAATACGACCCAACTGTGCTAGAACTCTCTCCTGAACCTCCGTTTTCCTCTTCTGAATCTCCTCTTCCTTAGCCATGAAAGTTGACAGAGCAGATCTTGCCATTTCCTCATCTTCTTTTGTTAAAGCACCACTCAAACTCAGGTTTTCTGAAATCTGCCCAGATTGTGTGAGTGACTGTTGGCTTTCACACGCCTCCTCTTGCTGCATCTCAGTTTGCATCATTGTTTTGAATTTCATGGAAAACCCTTATTTTTTCTTGAATTTTCTCTTATATTATCTTCTCGGGTTAGCTTTTTCTTGGTAGCTCTTTTGCTTTGTCGGCTTTGGGATTATAAGAGGTTCCTCGTGTACTTGCGGTGCTTATGAAGTATGAACAGTGCTGGTTAGAGATTTCCAGCCAATTATAGCTCTAAGCTTTATGACGAAGAAAAATATAAAATAACATCTGAAAAAAGAAAAAAAACTGTCCACGTGTTTCTTAACGGTAAAGTTTTCTGTAGCTTTTGAGTCATAATTTAGCTCCATTTGATGCACATTTTGAATGTAAGAATGTATTTTTACTATTGATGTGATGGAAATATGTGGTTGAAAAATGAGGAAAAATTATTGATGTGATAAAAAATATTATTTTATTGAAAAATGTGTGATTGAAAATGAGTTTTGAAAGAATGTGCACCAAACATGGACTTAATAAAAAAGTGACACTTAATAATCCTTTTATTGATGGAAAATGTGTGGTTAAAATTGAAGAAAAAGTTATTGCTGTGATGAGAAATATTATTTTATTGAAAAACGTGTGATTAAAAATAAGTAAACGAATGATAATAAAAAAAATAATGTGAACCAAACAAGGCCTTAACATATGTCTTTAGTTAACCAGGTTTGACTTCCTAAAGGAATTCCAAAACTCAAAAATCACATCATCACGGTTAAATACTTAAATCCAATCGCCATTCAATTTTATACTTATGGCTCGTTTAATAGCAACGGTGAAATTTGGACAGAAAGGAAATGAATTACATGAAATTAAATTGTATAGAATTATTTTCCTGAACATTATCAATTAATTGTATTTGATTGGTATAATTTTTCATTTGAAAAATGTTGAAATTTTGGATCTTTTGATATTCGTTTGACTTTGTTTTTCATGAAAATTGTCCATTAAAGATAATTTTTTTTTTTTTTTACAATTGTCCATAGAATTTGTTTTCGTTACCAAAAAATTAAAAAATATATATATAAGTGGATGTTCGGTGGGGATTAAAATTATGTTTTTAGTATATTGTGATAGAAGTTTTTAAAATATGTGGTTAATATTGATTGTTTGATTTTGATTTAAATTAAAATATGATTTTAATCCTTACCAAACATGCCCTAAAAAAGCTGGAAACCATTTTCCCATCAAAGTGGTGAGAAAGTCAATCCAACAAAAACATGGAAAAATGGGCCACGTGGGGGGTGGGAGGAAAATATTTTCCATAAAAAATTTTGGCTATCAAACATGGCAAAAACAGGAAATAGAATTTCAATTCCATTTTCTATGGAAAAAAATGGTCTATCAAACAGGCCCTTAATGGTACCATAACCACCTAATTTTATTTTGTTTCACCGTGACCATCAAACTTTATACTTAATATTACCAGGTCACCCAATTTTATTTTATTTCACTATATCCACCCAATTTCATATAATCATTAATCGTGGCTACCCAACTTCTTTTAACTCTTTTCATTAATTTTAATATGGGCAAAATGGTAAATTGTATTATATATAAAATAAATTTAAAAAAAAACAAAAATAAAAGTTTATTTTAAATTTAAAAACGGTTTTTTGAAAATAAGTTTTTATTTTATTTTTTTAAAGTAACATTTTTTTGAATAAGTTTTATTTTATTAATTTTTTTAAAATAAGTTTCTATTTTTTAAAAAAATTATTTTATATATATAATGCAAAGTAACGTTTTACCTCTTTTAAAATTAATGAAAAATGGTGAAAAGAAGTTGGATAGCCAGGTGTAATGTTATATAAAATTGAGTGGCTATTGTGAAATAAAAAAATCAATTCGATCCGAGCTCTTGGAATGGCCATAGTGAAACCAAATCAAATTGGATGACGACGATCACACTAAATATAAAACTAGGTAGCCATTGGTGTATTTACCCATATGAGAACTCAAAAGTTGAAATGATTTATTGTTGAAATATAATGTTAATTAACGTCAATAGAGTTTAATATTTCGATGGTGGCAATGAAAATAATATTTAGTTATTTAGCCCCCATTTGGCTCCTTTTATTTGATGTTATAATTTTTAAATAGTATTTTTTTGGAAAATATGTGGTTGAAAAATAAGGAAATTTTTTTAGTTTATTTGTAATATTATTTTATTGGAGAATGTGTGATTTTAAAAAATAGAGAAAAATGTATTATAAATTTAGTGATGCCAAATGGGGGCTTAATGAAGTTGAGATGTATTTTATTCATTAAAATGCATTTTTATTCATTCGTTAATGTAAAACAATGACCGTACTATTGTGTAAAAGGTTTTAGGACGACGGTTCTATATGCACACATGATAGGATTCATTATTACACATTTATCTAAACTACTCAAATCATGATATATCGGCATCCAAGGTCCTTTTGTTTCTCTCTTACCCCTCCATATGTTGAGTTGTTATAATTTGAATGATTGGAGATCTGTTGCATTATGATCTAAATAGTTAGTCCTATCAATTTGCATATAAGACCATTTTATTGAAATTTTCTCCACGATCAATGATCATTTAGACTTTAGACGAATAATATTACTCATCCCTTTGTCTACTTTTACATTTGTACATTCTACAAAAAATTCTCTCTCATATGACCTAACATATCAGAGAACTCACACAATCAATTGTAATAGTCTCAAGATAAGTTGCATTTATTAAAGAGTAATATTTTCATCTAGTCTTTATGATCGTCAGTGTATGTGGCAGTGGGTTACTATCTATACATCGATAATCATTTAAACTCTAGATGAATAACATTAATTCGTTGAAAATCATGGACTTTCCATCGTCTTTTTTTGTATTTTCTGATATCATTAAATAGTTTTAGGTGAGGGACAATGATCACGCGCAAAGTGTTTACTATGCCATAATTTGATTTAGATAAAAATCAAATTAATAAATTTTGATAAAAGATAATAAAAAGTGAGTGGTTGAAAAATTGTGGATTTCATTAAATATATAGTTAAAATTAATCATTGATTTTGACTTAAATTTTAATCTACCTTTCTAGTTGAACAAAGCATGGATTATCTCTTTAGCTTCGGGCTTTTCTAAGTTAAGACGCCCCTGTGTTTTTGTGTGTGAAAATATGTAAGCATAAATGGAGCTCAAATGAGTTTGTAGGTCCAAACCTACTCCAGCCAAAGGAAATGAAAGTCTGGAAAAATGGGGCTTCACCTATAGGGGGTGCCACATTGCCCCCTATTTGAACAGGGCCTACGTGGCCCAGCTATACTCATTTAATATAGGGTGTGTTTGACACCCATTTTTTGAAAATAAAAATTTATAGCATAGTGGTTGATGAGAGAATGTGTGGTGAAAAAGTTATGAAAAGTTTTAGATTTGTGTGTATTATTATTTTATTGGAAGAATGTGTGGTTGAAATGAAGTAAGATGAAAAAATGAGAATGAGATAGAAAATTATGGGTGCCAAACATGGGCTTAGTTGTTCATCATGGCTCTTGAATCTTTTAAATGGGTAGTTGTAGAGGTGGCAATGGGCCAAGTCGGCTCAGCTCGACCCTAATGCATACAAGCTCGAGCCGAGATCGTGGCTTGTTTATAAAGCTCGGATCGTTACTTGAGGACCGAGCCGAGTTTCGACTCTCGAGCTCGTCCATTTTCATTTCTTTTTTAAAGATAAACATTTTTAAATAAAAGAAAAGATAAACTCTCATCCTTTATTTGAGTTTACGATCGATTACTTCAATTTCGAGTAAGTGGAGTTAAAAATTGTATACGAACAACTACGTGTACAATTTTTTAAAAAAATTTAAAAAATATTATAAAATAACAAATTTCGATTAATATGATTAAATTAAATATCACTTACTTAACGACATGCAATTTCGGCATATTTATCTTGCAGTCGAAAATGGCCGTCTTAACAGTCCTTCAAGCGCATTAATGTCTCCAAAATATCTTCTTTCAGTCGACTCCTAACTCGGACAAAATCCTCTTACATGAACTAAAAACGGACTCTGAAACTACAGTGCTAACTGGATATGTTATAGGTCTTTTGCCATCACAAAAACCACTGGCCATCATCATTCGTACTTTCGCTAGAATTTAATTGTTTCTTCTGTAATTTTCTTAATTGTTTTGTTATTATGCACATTATGATTAAAGTAATCAATTAATTCAGTAAGCAATGTATTTGGACTTGCGTCCTATATTTGATTACATGCGGTAGACAAACTACTATTAGAGGAACCACCTACATTTGCATAATATCTATATGAGTTAATGCCTTATAATAAAGTTACTATTTCAGCGTCGTCTTCGGCATATCAATGGGAGGAGTAGGTGTAGAGGGTACTCGATTAATATTTGCACACATTCGTTCTACATATAATTTATACATTTCACATAACGTTTGTTTTAAATTTCTATAAGTGAAGTGTATTTAAAGTTAAAGTTCTTGAAATCTGATCAATTACAAATTTAGAGCTTTCCTGTTCGAGCTTTTTCCTCCTAATACATCCACATAGAAAGTGGCGTAGTAGAACCAGTGTCTGGATTACCAAATTGCAGTTACATTTTACCGGCAGGAAGAAGCTCATGTTTGGCCGTACATGCTTTGTAGTGACGGTTGAGGTGAGTGGTTCCAATACCATGTTGTCATGTCAATCGTTGTTGACAGTATTTACATATTACTTTAGATTCTGCAACTCTATCGACCACACGACCTGTTTGAATCAATTTAAAATGATCCCCAACATTTTACATTTTTTTCCCTTTCGCTCGTGTATCGGGAATATCTAATTCATGTTTATCCTCCGTTCCTCTTCGAAAATGTCAACATCATCCAAATCAATTGGATTACTATTTCCATAAGTATCCAAATCCGAAATATTTTCGGGAATAGGTATTTCGTTTAAACCACAGAATTCATTCTGAAATTGACTTTGCAGTATGATAGGTATTTATATTCCGGATAATTGTAAATTT